ATCAATGAGGTATATGGAAGAGTGTAAAAGATTGGTATCAAACTTACTAAAGTCCAAAACTGAAAAAGAAAAAAAAATCAAGAAAAAGCAGTAGAAGCAAGACTAATAATACGGAAAAAATTACTAAAGAAAACAGCTAAGAAAACTGAGGAGGCCGGGCGCAGGTGGCTCACACCTGTAATCCTAGCTACTTAGGAGGTTGAGATCTGAGGATCACAGTTCAAAGCCAACCCCGGCAGGAAAGTCTGTGAGACTCTTATCCCCAATTAACCACCAGAAAACCAGAAGGGGTGCTGTAGCTCAACTGGTAGAGCTCTAGCTTTGAGCTGAGCAGCTCAGAGACAGTGCCCAGACCCAGAGTTCAAGCCCTACAACTGACAAAAACAAAAGCAAAAACAAAAACCTGGGGGACAAGAGGCTGATGTTTTGGCTATATTTCTGGTGGCATGTTTGTTTGGTGTGATTTTTTTTTTTTATAAAATACCTCCTACTGTTAGTTTCCCCTGTGTGCCTTTATTTCTAATGTTCTTTGTTCTATATAAATTGTCAAATTTATTATTTTTTTTCATTTTTTAATTGTGAAAATACCATACAGAGGGGTTACAATGACATGAGCAAGGTAATGAGTACATTTCTTTTTTTTCTTTTTTTTGGTGTGATTTTTGAGACTGAGTCTCCCTACATAGCCCAGGCTGGCCTCAAATCCATGATCCTCCTGCCTCAGCTTCATGAGCTGGGATTACAAGTGTGTGTGCACCACCACGTGCAGCGCGGTCCAAGTTTTTAGTGCTTATCTTTTGAAAATTAAAAGGCAATCATCGAATAAGAATGGTATGAAAACAACAAATAGAAACTAGACAGCTTTCATTAAGAAGCACTATTACAAACCTGTCTAAATGTGGGCTCTACAGACCTGTAATCCTAGTTACCCAGGAGGTAGGAAAGGGTATGGAGTTTGAGGCTGGCCCAGACAAAAGCCTGGGACCCTAACCTGAAAAATAAACTAAAATGCAAAAGGTCTGGGGCGAATCTCACAAAACCTAGCAAATATAAGGCCAAGAACAGACGAACCAGTACCACCAGAACAGACAAACAAAAAAACTCTAAAATTGCAATGATAATGATAGAGACCTACTGAAAAGAAAGATGCAAATTAATACATGCCACGAAAACAACCACCTAATTTCTTATTTCACCCCTTTGTAGCCAAGTCTCCAAGATGGCACCAGCAAAATTCTCACTTCCCACTATTTATGCTTCACTGACTCTGCTCTGAATTAGTTCTACTTGGGCAACTAGCGAGAGTATGGCAGAGAAGACCATGTGACATCCAAGGCCAGGATAGAGAAGCAACCGGGACTCCGTCTTCTCCTCTTGGACTACTCGCTCTCTCTGAAGAGCCAGCAGCTCCTTCCTATGAGGCGATCGAGCAGTACAGAGGTGCCCACACATGGCAGAACAGAGGCCTTTCCACAATCAGCAAGCACCAAACTGCCCGCCAGCTGCATGAACCCAGGTTAGGTCGGCAAGTGACCGGAGCTCAGCTACCAGGTGTGTGAGGTGACCTCATGCAGGATGGTGAGCCAGAATGAATGACTCAACCAGATCTCTGTGGAATTCCTGACAGAAATTGAGATAATAAATACTTCAGCTACACAACTTTTGGGCTGCTGTGCAGTTACTAAGCTCCTCTAATAAAATCCGGCATTACTTTTTTAGGACCCATTCAAGAGCAAGTACTGGGTCAGCTACTTTCTGTCATCTGACTTAGGCCCAGCAGTAGATGTTCAGTATGACTAATAGGAAGACTGCTGGCAAATGTGCTTGTGGTTCGTGCTCTCTCTCTCTCTCTCTCTAACAATATTAGCTCTAAATCCATTCTGGAACAGGTACAAAGTTCAGGACAGTCCTTAATCTTTCTTCCTTCCCATGTTCCCCACAGCTACCTACAAAGACACCATCTTGGCTGTTTTGCTTTTTCAGCTGATACACCCCAGATCTATTTCTTGCCTCAAGAATTTGCTTACTTTCTAGTTCCATACGGTTATCGGTCACATTTTGCACGTCTGTACCTTGCCCTTTCCAAGTGTAAATGCAATCATTTGTTAAAGCAGATTGGCCAAGTTGTGCCACCACATCACGAGTCAGTTTTGGAAGGCTTCCACCCACTCCACAGCCCCCTCACGCCCTCGCACTGCTAACCCTCAGCTTCCCTCCTGCGATCCCAGACAATCAGTGCACCCTCTGCCTACCAGGTCCCTTGTATGATTCAACCTTTGCATGAAGGTCCCTGGCTTTTTTCACTGAGCATGCTTTGGAGGACTCAGAGCATCCTCATATATGCCAAGGTAGGTAGCTAGGTACGGATAAGTTGGAGCATATTCAGTAATCTCTTCCAATTTTTTTTTTTTTGGGTCCGGTCGTGGGGCCTGAATTCTGGGCCTGGGCACTATCCTCAGCTTTTCAGCTCAAGGCTAGCCCTCTACCACTTGAGCCACAGCACCACTTCCAGCTTTTTTCTTTTTGCTTATGTGGTGCCGAACCCAGGGCCTCAGGCATGCAAGGCAAGCCCTCTACCACTAAGCCACCTTCCCAGCCCCCTCTTTCAATTTTTGAATAATACTCCATTATATACTAAATTGTGCCTATCCACTGACCCTCTAGAAGGACCTTTAGACTGTTGCTAATTTTCACTATGATGAATAATACTCCATAAGATCACTGCTTATAAATCTTGTGTGGATGTTTTCATTTCTTTTGGATAGACTTGTTGGGTCACACTGTAAGTATGTGTGTGTGTATGTGCGTGCATGTGCGCTGGTGGTAGGACTTGAACTCACACTGTAAGTGTGTGTGTATGTGTGCTGGTGCTAGGGCTTGAACTCAGGGCCTGGTCATTCTCCTGTAACTATTTCACTCAACACTGGTGCTCCACTACTTGAACCACACCTCTATTTCCAATTTCTTTTGCTGGTTAATTACAGATAAGAATTTCACAGACTTTCCTACTCAGCTGGGCTTTGGACCTTGATCCTCTAATCTCAGCTTCCTGAGTAGTTAAAAATTACAGGCGTAAGCAAGCCAACAGTGCTGGGCCCTTTCAGTATTTTTATTTTTGCCAGTCCTGGGGCTTGAACTCAGGGCCTGGGCACTGTCCCTGAGCTTCATTTTGCTCAAAGCTAGTACTCTACCTCTGAGCCACAGCGCCATTTCTGACTTTTTCTGTTTATGTAGCACTGCGGAATTGAACCCAGGGCTTCATGCATGCTAGGCAAGCAATCCACCACTAACTCACTTTCCCAGCCTGACCTTTCAGTTTTTCAGAAACTGCTAAATTGTTTTCCAGTGTGTGTGTTTTCCAGTTGTGGGGCCGGAACTCTGGGCCTGGGTGATGTCCCTCAGCTCTTCACCTCAAGGCTAGCGCTTGAGGCACAGCACCACTTCCAATTTTCTGGTGGTTAACTGGAGAACAGAGTCTCATGGACATTATTGCCTGGACTGGCTTTGAACCTCAATCCTCAGATCTCAGCCTCCTGAGTAGCTAGGATTACAGGCATGAGCCACCAGCACCCAGTTCAGCTATCTTTTTGATCAGGAACTCAGTGGAAGAGTTAACAAGTGGCTCCTGCTCTCAGAAAAAGACATTCAGGATCCTGGCACTGCAGACCCCATTAGTCTGGACTAAATGGATGCTATTAGCTGGGTGCCGGTGGCTCACCTGCAATCCTAGCTACTCAGAAGGCTGAGATTTGAAAATCGAGATTCAGAACCAGGCTGAGCATATAAATCTGTAAGACCCCAATTAACCAGCAAAAAGTCAAAGTGGAGGGGTAGCCCAAGTGGTAAAATACTAACCTTGAGGGAAAAAGCCAAGCCAGAGTATGAGACCCTGAGTTCAAGTCCAAGTACCCATACCAAACAAATTAACAAAACAAAAACAAAAAGAAAAAGCAAAGCTGAGTGTTGGTGCCTCACGCCTATAAACCTAAGCATTCAGGAGGCTGAGATCTAAGGATTGGGGTTTGAAGCCAGCCCAGCCAGGAAAGTCACTCAACTGGTGGTACCTCTGGTTCCTGTAAGCTCTGGCCTAACAGTTTTTCACAAGCATAGGTTTTCAATTCACAAAGTGGGTTTATGCCTCTCATCCACTCATAGCAGGCAATAATGCCTAGTAGTGTGGGTAATCATGTAGATAATGATAAGCAAAATCTTAACAAATTCTAGTAGTGTTCTTACTGCTACGTTCAGCTAGGAAGACACTGGTACTGAGTAGGGGGTTGGTACTGGAAGCAGAAGACAACGATGGGAGTGTCCTCACTTAGAAGATGAATAAATCCCCCATGAGAGTATCAGGACTATTACAGGTTCATCAACCAGCATTAGAAAACTAAGTAAGACAGAAACACTCAAACTCTGGAAGCACAGTTACTCCTTACCTGCTAAAAGCCTTAATGAGATGGAGGTAATCTGGAGTCCAGATTGGGAAAAGAAGGCTCATGCCTATAAGTCTAGCTACTCAGGAGGCTAAGATCTGAGGACGATGGTTTGAAGCCACACACACACACACCCTGAGGACCATAGTTTGAAGCCACACACACACACCCTGAGGACTATGGTTTGAAGCCACACAGCCACACACACACAGTCACACACACACACACACACACACACACACACACACACACACACACACACACACACCAACATGTATACTGAGCCTATGCCTTTCATTTTGTTAACTATTAAATTAAATTAGGTCAAAAGAACCTGTTCAAATAGTCCATATAAATGGTAGTACTCAGCTCTTCCAGCTTCTTGGGAGCAGGAAGGTGAGCGGCAGAACTCCAGGCTCATCTGAAAGAAGCCAGGATTTTCCCCTTTTATACATAGGAGATGGGGGAAGACATAGGAGTGCTTCCAGTAAGATTACCAAAAAGCCGTTAAAACCCCAAGTCTACACATAAAACTGTGCCATGTCAATACAAATCCATCTCTTATACCTTAAAAAATTGAAGTCTCTCTCGATTTCTGCCAAATTCAACTTCTTGATTTTTTAACACTGCTTCAGGTCTAAAAGAAGAAAAGAAAAGAAGAAAACATGTGTATCAGAACAAAGGCCTACCTTGCTAAGACTTGACCCTTATGCATGAATAGACAAGTATTAAAAATCATGGGAAGGACAATTTACTAAATTTCTTTTTGAACAGGAAGCTCTTTCTGACTTACACAATACCTAGACAGCCACAGAAAGGAGTTATTTCACCAGGTATAACAAAGCCAGTTCATGCAAGTGCCAACACACACTGTTGTGAGAACTGAGCTGAGATGGTAATACAAGTAAAATGGCAAACTGTGTTGCAATTTTTGCTGCTAGCAATAGCAAAGTATTCTGGGCACTAAGTAAGCACAGTCTCACCTACTTGTTTCATAAGGAACAGATAGAGAATAACTGTTTCACAGTCTATACAACACAGTACATCCCTGTGAAATCATTGCAACAGGTATTGGACAAGAGAATGCTAACTTCCTTCACTGAAAAACAAGCTGGCACTAATGAATACCAACAGAAAGCATTCATACTCAGGCACTGGTTGCAAATGAAAAGGACACAGGATGGGTGTGTTCTCGATCTGTGAAGAAAATGTTCCTGAGGTTCGGCTTAGCTCTCCAGAATCGCACGGTCCTCGGCAGGGAATCTGGCCTCGACACGGAGGAGGCTTCCTGGGTGCTCGCAGTGGAGAGAGCTTTCCTGCCTTCTGTAGGTCACCACCTCCAGGATTGGGTGCATTTTGTATTGCACTGTTACCCCAAAAGGAAACAAAATAAAAAACATTTACAAGTGACAGAAAACTTGGCTCTTCAACAAACACTACCTGGGAGTAACTGATGTTCCAAGGCTCACATCCATCATTTAGTCCAGATGCCAACAGCAAATTCAAAGCACAGGACCACAGTGTAAACCCCTCCTGGGTTCTCATGTATGTCAGTACTATTCAGCTACTCCAGAGCACATGGAAAAATGCTGATTCAGGGGCCGGGAAGGTGGCTCAGTGGTAGAGTGCTTGCCTTGCATGCATGAGGCACTGGATTCGATTCCTCAGCACCATGTAAGCAGGAAAAGCTGGAAGTGGTGCTATGGCTCAAGTGGCAGAGTGCTATCCTTGAGCTGAAGAGCTCAGTGGTAGCACCCAGGCCCAGAGTTCAGGCCCCACGACAGAGGGGGAAAAAAAAAAGAAAAGAAAAGAAAAAAATGCTGATTTATACCAATGGCAATCAGTCTTCTGTAGCTTACCCTTGGTGAAAGGCCCCAGAAATACTAAAAACTAAGTTGGGAGATGGCGGCTCACACCTGTAATGCTAGCTACTCAGGGAGGCTTTGATCTGAGGATCACAGTTCAAAACCAATCTAGGCAGAAAAGTATGTGATAATCTTATCTCCAACTAACCAGCAAAAAGCTGAAAGTAAAAAGGTGTAGCTCAAGTGGCAGAGCACCAACCTTCAGCATAAAAGCCCAAGCCTGTGGGTGCAGGTGGCTCACGTCTGTCATCCTAGCTACTCAGGAGGCTAAGATCTGAGGATCACGGTTCAAAGCCAGCCTGGATAGGAAAGTCCATGAGACTCTTATCTCCAATAAACCACTCAGAAAACCCAAAGTGGCATTGTGGCTCAAGTGGTAGAGTGCTAGCCTTGAGCTCAAGAGCTAAGGGACAGCACCCACTGAGGCCCAGAGTTCAAGGCCCACGACCGACAAAAAAAAAAGCCACAAGCCCAAGCACTAGTACAAGCAAAAAACAAAAAACTTTTTTCAGTGGAAAGAACATAAGAGCTTTCGTAAATGCATGGTTTTTGTTCTTTTTGTTTCTGTTTTTTGTTTTTGTCAGTCATAGGGCTTAAACTCTGGACCTGGGCACTGTCCCTGAGTTCTTCAGCTCAAAGTTAGGGCTCTACCACTTCAGCCTATCACGCCACTTCTAGTTTTCTGATGGTTAATTGGAGATAAAAGAGTCTCACTGATTTTCCTGCCCAGGTTGGCTTTAAACCACAATCCTCACATCTCAGCCTCCTGAGTAGCTAGGATGACAGGCGTGAGCCACTGGGGCCCAGCTTAAATGCACCAATTTAAGACAAATCTTTAGGGCTGGAGAAGTGGCTCAAATGGTAGAGTTCCAGTTTATCCCCAGTATCTCAAATGAAAGAAAAAACTTAATTCAGATATTGACTCAAAACACAGCTACTGAGACTGTCCACTTTTATCAAATATGGTGGCAGAAATACACAAATATGAAACCAGTTTTAAACTCAGATTGAGTCCAGAAAGTCTCACTAACCTAAACCTTTCCACCAATTTTCCATGACCCTAGTCAGTACCCATGCAGGGTGTCCCGAGGGCGAGCCTGCCTTTGTGCCCTTCCTCTACACTAGCCACTTCCACACCCTGAGAGACAGTACCATTTGCTGAAGTCTATCTGTAAAGAGTGGTCAGCCGTGAGGTCAGTTGGACAAGCAGGGTGCACTTTCTTAGGGTCTCCGCCAAGGGTTTTCACTGCTTCTCGCATAGCAGCAAAATCCACCATAGCTGGTATTCCACTGAAAAATAAGTATCAAGTAACAGTTACCCAGTTGCTGGTATAGAAGCTTATTATAAAATGGCTAACATAGTGGCACTGTGGCTCAAGTGGTAGAGCGCTAGCCTGGAGCAGAAGAGGGGAGGGACAGCGCCCAGGCCCAGAGTTCAAAGAAAATGGCTAACATGTACACACTCATTTTAATTTTTAAAAAGTACCTCTTCTTAGTTTGGATTCTTTGTTGTTGAGAAATTACTGGGATTTGAACTCAAGGCCTCACACCTAAGGCAGGTAATTCTACTGCGTAAGCCATATCTCAAGACCTTTACATGTTATTTAGCACTTTATCTTGCATTTTTGCTTTGGCCAGCCTAAACCATAATTTTCTGACCTACACATACCACATACAGAAGCATATCACCGAACTTCACTTATTTTGTTGGGATAGGGTCTCACTAAGTTTTTGTCTGGGCTGCTCTCAAAGTATATATAGTCCTTTAAATTTAATCTCCCAAGTAGCGGGGATTACAGGCGTAAGATACCAAGCCTGGCTTCATTTGTATTCATTTCTGATCATGTACTTATGCTCTAAAGGAGGATGGACTCTGGTGTAATGAAAATTAACATGAAATATTATCTGAGAACTTGAGTACTCTGGGGTGAATGTCCCCCAAATAACAAAACATATCTTTATTTATCTTTATTTTTTTTATTCTTCTTAAGCAATCATACAAAGGGGTTTCAGTGTGACAGTCTGTGAGTATAACGCATCTTGATCACTGTCTTCCCCCATCTCTCACCCCTCGTTACCTGGTTCCATTTTCACATATGTAATGGAATATTATAGCTGCATTACTTATTCTTCATTTCTCTACTCATCTAACCCCAAAGACGTGATTTCTGTAGATGTAAGTAATCATCGAAGGACTGCCAGCAGAATTCTTTCCTTTTGTGTTCAAGTTTTTCCTACTGTTTTGCTTTTCTTCCTTTGAGACAAAATCTTACTACATAGCCTGGGTTAATCTTGAACTCCTCATCCTCCTGTCTCAGGGTCCTGAGTGCCCTCCACCCCACCCCACCCTGCTCCCCCCCACATTCCTGCTTGCCTTCCAGTTTCTGAAGCTCTTTCCCTTTTTTCCTAGGTGGAGGCTCTTCTCCCCAAATGCTTGTATGTTGCCTCAAAGATACCCACCCTTGTTTTCCACTCTCCATACATACAGCTCACTACGCAGCAAGGGTGAGCAGCCTTCAGTGTCGAGCTGTTGCCACACCACAGCTCAAGTACCAACTGCAGAATACTATTAGAGTGGCAGCATCATGGACACATGGAGCAGGGCACATGAACCAGACTCTGATGGGTGACAGGACTGGCTACCCAACCCCAGGCGCCTGCAAAACCTAGCTTATGCTGAACTCTTCTAATAAATAATCTCTGGACACCCAGAGCAGACAGTCTTCCAAGACCCTTTGGACTTTATCCTACATGGGATGGAAGCCATGTGAGTGTGGAAAAATGGTGTGACCCTCTCAGCATTTTTAACTAGGCCCACCATCTACTGTATAAAGAGTAGACTGCAGATGTAAACGTGGAAGCAAGGATACCAGGTAAGAGACTACTGCAGCAGTTACCATCTAGGCAAGAGCAAAAAGAGCAGGGAACCCTGGTTCATGCCTTTAATTCCAGCTACATACAAGATGGAGATAAGGGAAAATCACAGCTTGAGACCAGCCAAGACAAAAAGTTAGTTAGAGCCCATCTCAAAAAACTGGTCAAGGGCTGGGAAGGTGGCTCAGTGGTAGAGCGCTTCCTTTGCAGGCATGAGGCCCTGGGTTCGATTCTTTAGCACCACATAAGCAAAAAGAAAAAAGCCGGAAGTGGCGCTGTGGCTCAAGTGGTAGAGCGCTAGCCTTGAGCTGAAGAGCTGAGGGACAGTGCCCAG